TATATATATATATATATATATATATATATATACACACATACATACATACATACATACATACATACATACATACATACATACATACATATATATCTCACCCATGTGCCTTTTTGCCCAGGACCTCAAACCACGTGATCCGGTTCATCATTAAACCATCTTTCCAAACAGCCACCATGTTTCCAGTGTCTTTCTCCCCACTTGGAACTGAACCCAGATGGTCATTTCTTCCAACATAGTCAATGGAACAACTTGCCTTCAAAAGTTGTGGGAGCTTTATCATTCCTGGCAACTTTCAAGAAGAGACTGGACTGCCAGCTGTCAGAAATGGTGTAGGATCTCCAGCTTGGGGGATTGGACTAGATGACCTACAAGATCCCTTCCAACTCTTGTTATTCTTTTCTTTAATCAAAACAGCCAATTTAGCCATCTCTGCCAACTCCGTCAGCTTCTGTAGCTATGCGTCCATGGTGGGAATCGAAAGGTTCTTCCGTCCCCCCCCCCCCAAAAAAAAGTCTTTTTCCATTAAACCAAAAAGAAAAAATTATGGAAGAGTTTCTATAATGATTTGATGCCTAATCTTAGTTGCTCATTGTAGCTTAATCTAACATAGGGCTGCCCGCAGCCAAAGAGAAGTCAAATAGAAGATTTTTTTAAAAAGAGATGCAAAGGAATTGGATGCAGGTTATTTTAATGCAAGATATAACTCTTGAGATGTTGCTGTCCTAACATTTCTCTTAATGGGTTCACAGTCAGTGTAACCAATGGTGCAAAATACAGAGAGGTGAAATTCAGCGATGTGTGGAAGGTCATAAATGCATCCTTCGGGGGCCATTTCTTCATCTGTTATTGTTGCTTCATTCTGTTACTTCAGTTGGTGACTACGATAGCAGAGGCACCCAATTCCAAAACTGTTCGACAATGATCGTGTAGTAAGTTACAGCAATGTTGTACGGTATTAATGGAGAGATGAATGGTTGGAAGATTAGCTTGGTTTGCTTTGTTATCCCTAACTTTGTGGGTGTGCCTTCAAGTCACTTTTATCTCCTTATCAACTGCCTGGACCAGTCCCTGCAGTTTTCCTGGCAACATTTACCATTACTGCCAGTTCCATGCAAGTGCATGCACATTTGACCATAAATGCAATAAAAATTGTTCTGCCCATGTGCAGAAGCAAAAAACAAGATGGCGCCACCTATGGTGCCACTGGGAGAACCAGTTCGGGGGCGTGGCAGGCCTGGGTCACTGCCAGTTCCAGGGACCCAGCCACCAAACTACTACCGGTTCTACTGAACTGGCCCGAACCGGTAGGAACCCACCATTGATTGTCTCCTTCCTTGGGCTGAGAGAGAGGGACTGGCCCACATCACCCAGCTGACATTGTGCTTAAGGTAGGACTAGAGCTCACTATCTCCTGAGTTTCTAGCCTGGTGTTTTAACTACTACTACTGGTAAACCAAAATGGCTCTACCTGCAAACTAGTTAAAATGCAAAGCGTTGGTGAACATCCCATCTGGTCTGTTTGCTTTGTAACCACTAGATGGCGCCCAAGCACCACTCTGTTCTCTTTCCATTCCTTGAATCTTGGTGACCAGCCCTCCTCTAATGAGTTTCTATTGAATCTCTGCTACCCTTCCCTGGGAGAGCTGATGCAGCTTACCTTGTAAGCTGGAAAGTCCCTGGATCATATATCATCAGTAATGCCAGGGTACCACTGTTAGCTGTTTAGCTTCTTGGTTTGCCATCCTCTGCACCATCCAGAAAGGACTCTTGGAATGATCTAGCCAAGGGGTGTCACACTTGATTTCATTGAGGGTTGCATCAGGGTTGTATTTGACCTCAAGAGGGGGGGGCAGGGAAGCATGGCCAGGGTGCACGTGGCCAGCTCAATGGCACTCATGTTGGGAGCACCTGTGGTGGCCCAAGCACTCTGCCAGAGAAAACGGACTCCCAAGCACCATTTTCAGCTGCGACAGCCTCCTGCAATCCTCTGCCAGGGAAAACAGAGCTCCATTTTCACTGGCAGAGGGACCACAAGCCAATCCTTTGCTCTTTCCAGGACAGCCCTTTGGGCCGGATCTAAGCTCTCTGCGGGCCAGAACCGGCCACCGGGTCTTAAGTTTGATACCCCTGATCTACCTTGAGTGATCTGAGCCCTTGTGATCTAAATGCTTAGGATCTTAATGATATAAAACTGCATTGCAAATTGAAAAATGCTATGTCCTCTCATTATCTGCACACTGTGAGATATGAAAGAGGCACTCTCAGCGTGCCCATATCGTAGATCACTCAGTGACCTGAATAATGCCGTGATGCTCTTCAGCGGAAAATGAGTGTGTAAAATACAATTGCTAAGAAAATGATAGTGTGTCATATGAGCTTTAGGGGCCTGGCTTAGCTGCTTTGGTGCCGGCATGAGTCAGTAGGCAAGAAAAGGGGAGAAGAAGCTCAGGTGTAGCCTTGGAGTGCTAACCAGGTCAATTGTGGGACAGAGGTAGGCAGCATTCTTATGGGTCAGGCCTTGTATATAGGTGGTGGTGGTGGTATGGAACTGTTCCTGGGGGAGATGCTCATGGGCTGGCCTG